CTCAAACAGGCATGTTGATGGAGTCGACTGATCAGGGGTTTCTTTTCCCTTTCAAAGTGCCTCCGCCTGAGAGGACAGGAGAAACACGAGAAAGAGAACGTAAGAGAGAGGGTGGGGGAAGACAGACATAGGATGCGATAGACTAAGAAATATCGAGAAAGGCGGTGATGAGAGAGAGATAGAGAGAAAGGGAGAGAGAGAAAGAAAGAAAGAGAGAGAGAGAGAAAGAGAAAGAGAGAGAGAGAGACCGAAGAGGATGGAGAAGAAAGTGAGACGGTTGGGGAAAAGCGGGGATAGAGAAGAGGGGGGGGGGGTGAGACAGACACGGAGAAAAGAAAGAAGTAAAAGAGAACTTGACAGATGTGAAGACGGTCAGATAAGAGAGAAAAGGAGAAGGGGGAGAGAGAGAGAGAGAGAGAGAGAGAGAGAGAGAGAGAGAGAGAGAGAGAGAGAGAGAGAGAGAGAGAGAGAGAGAGAGAGAGAGAGAGGGGTGGGGGGTTCAGATACCAAGATGGTGACAGAGAGAAAGACAGAGTTTATGTGTTTACATTTCCAAACCATGTTAACAGGAAATTTAGTCTTTGGAATTAATTATGTTTCCCTTTTCTGTCTCCTGACTGCGCAATCGCACCTGACAAATAATTATCAGCAAACAGAAGTCGGACAAACCTCTTGGCGCGCACCAGGAGACAGACAACTCGTATGAAATAACATGAAACTATGCAGTGCAAGTTGTCTAGCATCTCAACAGATCACAAGTCTCGATTATGTCTGTCCTTTTGACGATTACGCAATCTGATCTAGCAGTTCAAGTTGTTATCACCCCCACCCGCTCAAGTCATATCAATTCTACTAGTGGCTGCTAAGTTTCCCAACATATCTACTAACTGTTTCCAAGTTTTCCATGAAGATTGCTAGTGGTTGCTAAGTTTCCTAATAAGTCTGCTTGTTGTTGCTAAATATCCCATCAAGTCTGCTGGTTGTTGCTAAATATCCCATCAAGTCTGCTTGTTGTTACCAACTCTCCCATAAACTCTGCTAGCTGTTGCCAACCTTCCTATCACGTCTGCTAGTTGATGTCAAATATCCCATCAAGTCTGTTAGTCATCATCATCATAAACCACTTCTGCCGTTAAGCGTCGTGGGGAGGAATTATTTGCGATCCAGTGCGCGTTGTCTGCCACTGGCTAATTGTCATGCCGTGAAGGCGTAGAGTGTCTTTAATGTTGTCGATCCATATTTTCCGCGGCCGTCCTCTTGCTCTTGTAGTTGGTCTTCTGAGATGTAGTGGTTGTGATGGTATTTGATCTTGCTGCATTCTAACGAGATGGCCAAACCACTTGATCAGACTTGATAGCAAGTCTGTTAGTTGTTATCAAATCTCCCATCAGTTCTGCTAGTTATTGCCAGCTTTCTCATCAAGTCTGCTAGTTGTTACCAAATATCATTTGACGTCCGCTAGTTGTTGCCAAATATCTCATTGAGTCTGCTAGTTGTTGCCAGCTTTCTCATCAAGTCTGCTAGCTGTTGCCAAACACCCCTTCAAGTCTGCTAGTTGTTGTCAACTTTCCTATCAACTCTGCTAGTTGTTGCCAAATATCCCAGCACGTCCGCTAGTTATTGCCAAATATCTCATTGTCTGCTAGATGTTGCCAACTTTCTCATCAAGTCTGCTAGCTGTTGCCAACACTCCAATCAAGTCTTCTAGTTGCTGCCAAGTTTCTTATTAAGTAAGTCTGCTATTTGTGGCCAATTTTCGAGTTTATCCTCCCCCCCCCCCCCCAATAGGATCCAATAAATACTGACAAGGAATTAAGTTTCTCTAATCACCGTATTGTTGCAATTGTCCCCTGGAGAATTCGTTAAGACTGTTTTTTTTTTTTTGTTAGTCGGTATTCTTTGCAATGTCAAGAGAAGTCACATCTATGCCATTAGAGGTTTCTCATAAATATATGCGTATAGTCTGGGTTTCAGGTGAGCGCATGCTTGAGACTGAGCTCTGTACAAGTCGGCAGAGTGTGGATGATCATCGCCTCAACCTCCTAACAGTATACATTTCTGTAACCTATGGTGACATTTCAATGGTTTGAAATTAATTATGTCCGTATTCCATAGTTGTGGATTTCAAGCTGTACGATAGACATGGCCAAAAAGACACCTTTTTTAGGGGGTGCCTAGTTGACCATGTTCTTAGTGCACTTGTATCCATGGCGAGGCGCAGGCGTCGTCTGGAGGTGACAGGTTCAATTGGCACGGTAACTATAGCTTTCGATTTTTATGTTGTCTAGTGTTTTTTTTTTTTTTTACTTCTTTCTATGAGTGCCGATCAACACACTTTCTGTTACTTGATTAATTCGTGAATAACCATAGCGATGGCTCAGCCAAAAAATGAAGTCCCAGACGGTGACAAACTGGTAAGCGGCTAAACAACAATAGCTACAGACGCCTTTATTCCTCTAATTATAGTTTAATTAACATTCTTTACAATTCGGCGTTACTGACATGCCTCCCAATTTCTCCGTTGTGCTTGGATAGTGCACAGGGATTAAGTATAAAAAAGGAAAAACCAGACGTGAATCGTGTCATTCTAGACTTGTCATGTATTCTATTTTCTTGAGCAGAAAAAGGATTTGAAATTATTCTCCCTCCTGCTGGCACATTATACGGCGTAAATTGAAACTGGAAATAGCCAAAATATATTTCTTTGTACTATGCAGCGAATTCGCGGTGGTACAGTTGTCTGTGAGTTTGGTTATCTGTGACATGATTCGGGGAGTTTTCCCCATGTGGGATCTGGTGATCATTTCCGTGTGGGTTTGGCTCGTTGGATATTTGTGACATCATTCCGGTTCTGGTGATAACCATGTGGGTTTTTGTGCTTAGATATCTGTGACATCATTCGGGGTCTGGTGATAACCAAGTGGGTTTTGGTGCTTAGATATCTGTGACATCATTCGGGGTCTGGTGATAACCATGTGGGTTTTGGTGCTTAGATATCTGAGACATCATTCGGGGTCTGGTGATAACCAAGTGGGTTTTGGTGCTTAGATATCCGTGACATCATTCGGGGTCTGGTGATAACCAAGTGGGTTTTGGTGCTTAGATATCTGTGACATTATTCGGGGTCTGGTGATAACCAAGTGGGTTTTTGTGCTTAGATATCTGTGACATTATTCGGGGTCTGGTGATAACCATGTGGGTTTTTGTGCTTAGATATCTGTGACATTATTCGGGGTCTGGTGATAACCATGTGGGTTTTTGTGCTTAGATATCTGTGACATTATTCGGGGTAAGGTGATAACCATGAGGGTTTTTGTGCTTAGATATCTGTGACATTATTCGGGGTCTGGTGATAACCATGAGGGTTTTTGTGCTTAGATATCTGTGACATCAATCGGGGTCTGGTGATAACCATGTGGGTTTTTGTGCTTAGATATCTGTGACATCATTCGGGGTCTGGTGATAACCATGTGGGTTTTTGTGCTTAGATATCTGTGACATCATTCGGGGTCTGGTGATAACCATGTGGGTTTTTGTGCTTAGATATCTGTGACATTATTCGGGGTCTGGTGATAACCATGTGGGTTTTTGTGCTTAGATATCTGTGACATTATTCGGGGTCTGGTGATAACCATGTGGGTTTTTGTGCTTAGATATCTGTGACATTATTCGGGGTCTGGTGATAACCATGAGGGTTTTTGTGCTTAGATATCTGTGACATTATTCGGGGTCTGGTGATAACCATGAGGGTTTTTGTGCTGAGATATCTGTGACATTATTCGGGGTCTGGTGATAACCATGAGGGTTTTTGTGCTTAGATATCTGTGACATCAATCGGGGTCTGGTGATAACCATGTGGGTTTTTGTGCTTAGATATCTGTGACATCATTCGAGGTCTGGTGATAACCATGTGGGTTTTTGTGCTTAGATATCTGTGACATCATTCGGGGTCTGGTGATAACCATGTGGGTTTTTGTGCTTAGATATCTGTGACATTATTCGGGGTCTGGTGATAACCATGAGGGTTTTTGTGCTTAGATATCTGTGACATTATTCGGGGTCTGGTGATAACCATGAGGGTTTTTGTGCTTAGATATCTGTGACATTATTCGGGGTCTGGTGATAACCATGAGGGTTTTTGTGCTTAGATATCTGTGACATCAATCGGGGTCTGGTGATAACCAAGTGGGTTTTGGTGCTTAGATATCTGTGACATCAATCGGGGTCTGGTGATAACCAAGTGGATTTTGGCTCGTTGGATATCTGTGACATTATTCAGGGAATCATCTCCACGTGGGATCAGGTGCTAATCTCCGTGCGGGTTTGGCTCTTTGGATCTCTGTGACATCATTCGGGGAATCCTCCCCGTCTGGGATCTAGTGATAATATACGTGTGGGTTCTGGGACCCAACTCGGGTGGCGGCGGGGAAGATAACAGACCCACTGCCCCATAACAAACAACACGTCGGAGGCAACAAATCAGGGGCTTTTTCTTCGACGTCGGGTGCATCTTTCTGAGGAAACGAGAAACCGAGAGTCTGCACTAAATAATACCTGTAGAACGGATGAGCACGCAAAACCCAAGTTTTAGAACTAGAGCAAAGTCCAGAAGTGGAACTTTCCACCGGAGTTCACAACCGTTAAACGCGAAGAAAACAACGAGTAAGTGTAGTCATTTCATCTATGTCTGGTTCTGTATGTATAGACCAGAGACAATCTGACGATTTTATTCGCTTGGTAGGGACTCCAATTCTGTCCTTGTGTCACAAGTCCATCCCTGTTGACTTTTCTTCTTCTTTTACCATGTCCTGTGATATCACATTTTTTTTTCTTATCTATTCGACCGAAAGAAATCTCAGGTGTATAAACAACGTTAAGGGCTAAGATGTGTTTTAAAGACTAGTCAAGTAAACGAATTCCTACAAAACTGTCGCCTCTATGCCCAGTGTCGGCAAAGCACGTAATTCCACAATAAAACACAGCATGACAAGACTACAAACCTTGGGTTGGAAGGCTCCCTGAAGGCTGGATGCCAGCGTAGACCCAGATGGTCCTGGGGGGAGCAAGGAGGTGAAAGCTGCACTGTAGTTGGGCACAATCTATGTGGTAGAAAAAAAAAAACATACGTTAATGTAACATGTGACCTTTGACTGCTTGTTGGGATTTTCTATGTCTCTCAAAACTAAACATTTCGAAAGAAAAACTAGTATCCACTTTTTTAAAAACTAAAGCAAATCACGTTTGGATAAACACAACATGTTAGACAAATTACGTGTTGGTTCCAGGTCCACTTAGACGAAACTAAAGAACACAACTACTGCACTCTCAAGTATGCTGTAAAATACCACTAATTACAGAGGTTTCTTTCAAAGTCTGTGCACATCGAACTGGTGAAGAAATAACAGTCGACGTACAATTAAGCCAAATATGTAAAACGGATGTACAGGCAAAACTCAAGTTTTGGAACAAGTGCAGAAGCGGACGAAGAAACAGGATGTTCCTCCGGAGTTTATAACCGGTGAACGCTAAGAAGCGGGTCAATTATCTAACCCCAACTGCAAGTCTTTGGTAAATTTAATGGAATCAAGGCCGAAAGGTTGCGATATTCATAATACCGAGCCTAAGGGTTAACAACTTATGGCTTCTGGATACTAAAACAACAACAAAAAACAACAAAATCGATTCCGTTGACAATTTTGCAAATGAAACTACAAATCCCCTGGTTAATTTTCTAAACCCATTAGCAGATACTCTAGTAAATTCTCCAGAACCATCTACAGATTCTGTGATCAAATGTCCAAATCTATGCAGAGACTTCCAACACGGCACTAGACACCCCACGCACCAAATACCCTGGCCACCAGATGAATACCGTTGTGTTAACAAAACAATACAATGGAATCTTCCTCTCTCTTACTTCCCTCCAACTCCTCACATTACCGTTGTGTTAACAATACAATGGAATGTCTCTCTCTTTCTATTTTCCTCCGACTAGTCTCATTACCGCTTATGTCGAAAACAATTTGAATTCCACGAATGTTACATTTCCCTGAAATTAGATACGGAAATAAACACAATGCATTAAGAGAATGCATTTTTGTTGAAGTCGGTTTGACCTGATGCTAAATAACAAATATTTAAATTCTTGAAGACCGGCCTCTATGTTTCTACAGCAGTATGAGAATCACACCGTCAAAGAGACGGCAGCCTCATCAGACAGCAGTGGGTGCACTTAAGCCAACCTTGGCTGTGGAGACGGTTTTTGTTTCCTAGACAGAATAGGCCAGGGATAAAGTTCATTCTCTCCCTAATACCTATGTAGGACTATACAGACCATTCGCACCCCTTCGGCCTGTCTTGTTTGCTCCAAAGGAGAGGTAACACCAATATGTTTGGAACAAATCATACAGAAGCTGCCGGATTATAAAAGCAGTGCTTAGTGAAGTTTCCTTCCTCTAGTCCAGCTGTCAGTCAAGTATAAGGGTCTGGTCTGTCCTGCTACCACACTAAGTTTTAAGATTGCATTTCCTCAGAAAAGCCCAATATCCTCCCCACTCCAATAAGGTTCTCCCCCTCTCCCTCCATATCCGCAGCCACACTGTGGGATGTCAGCTATTTCTTGCATCCAGCCAGCGCTCTCTCATCTACAGACTTACTGAACAAACACAAACCGTAGAATGTTACATAAAAGGCTTCTCAGCCTGGATTCCTAAGATTCTTCTTTCGGAACGGCACGCAATTCACGGTAGCCCAGATAACATACATCTATCACTGGGAGACACCCGAGTCATGTACAGGTAAGAGAAGCCGGCGATAACCAGCCTGTAATTGTTGACTACATGTCTTAGATTATGCTGGTGTGATGGCTTGTAGTTGCTGTATTAACGACACAGATATGTTGGTGTGATGGCTTGCAGCTGCTGTATTAACGACACATATATGTTGGTGTGATGGCTTGTAGTTGCTGTATTAACAACACAGATATGTTGGTGTGATGGCTTGTAGCTGTTGTATTAACGAGACAGATATGTTGGTGTGATGGCTTGTAGCTGTTGTATTAACGACACAGATATGTTGGTGTGATGGCTTGTAGCTGTTGTATTAACGACACAGATATGTTGGTGTGATGGCTTTTAGCTGTTGTATTAACGACACAGATATGTTGGGGTGATGGCTTGTAGTTGTTGTATTAACGACACAGATATGTTGGTGTGATGGCTTGTAGCTGTTGTATTAACGACACAGATATGTTGGTGTGATGGCTTGTAGCTGTTGTATTAACGACACAGATATGTTGGTGTGATGGCTTGTAGCTGTTGTATTAAGGACACAGATATGTTGGTGTGATGGCTTGTAGCTGCTGTACGACACAGATATGTTGGTGTGATGGCTTGTAGTTGTTGTATTAACGACACAGATATGTTGGTGTGATGGCTTGTAGTTGTTGTATTAACGACACAGATATGTTGGTGTGATGGCTTGTAGCTGCTGTACGACACAGATATGTTGGTGTGATGGCTTGTAGCTGCTGTACGACACAGATATGTTGGTGTGATGGCTTGTAGTTGTTGTATTAACGACACAGATATGTTGGTGTGATGGCTTGTAGCTGCTGTACGACACAGATATGTTGGTGTGATGGCTTGTAGCTGCTGTACGACACAGATATGTTGGTGTGATGGCTTGTAGTTGTTGTATTAACGACACAGATATGTTGGTGTGATGGCTTGTAGCTGCTGTACGACACAGATATGTTGGTGTGATGGCTTGTAGCTGCTGTATAAACGACACAGATATGTTGGTGTGATGGCTTGTAGCTGCTGTATAAACGACACAGATATGTCGGTGTGATGGCTTGTAGCTGCTGTACGACACAGATATGTTGGTGTGATGGCTTGTAGCTGCTGTATTGACGACACAGATATGTTGGTGTGATGGCTTGTAGCTGCTGTATAAACGACACAGATATGTTGGTGTGGTGGCTTGTAGCTGCTGTATAAACGACACAGATATGTTGGTGTGATGGCTTGTAGCTGTTGTATAAACGACACAGATATGTTGGTGTGATGGCTTGTGGCTGCTGTACGACACAGATATGTTGGTGTGATGGCTTGTAGCTGCTGTATTAACGACACAGATATGCTGGTGTGATGGCTTGTAGCTGCTGTATAAACGACACAGATATGTTGGTGTGATGGCTTGTAGCTGTTGTATTAACGACACAGATATGTTGGTGTGATGGCTTGTAGCTGTTGTATTAACGACACAGATATGTTGGTGTGATGGCTTGTAGCTGCTGTATAAACGACACAGATACGTTGGTGTGATGGCTTGTAGCTGTTGTATTAACGACACAGATATGCTGGTGTGATGGCTTGTAGCTGCTGTATAAACGACACAGATATGTTGGTGCGATGGCTTGTAGCTGTTGTATTAACGACACAGATATGTTGGTGTGATGGCTTGTAGCTGTTGTACGACACAGATATGTCGGTTTGATGGCTTGTAGCTGCTGTATAAACGAGACAGATATGTTGCTGTGATGGCTTGTAGCTGTTGTATTAACGACACAGATATATTGGTGTGATGGCTTGTAGCTGTTGTATTAACGACACAGATATGTTGGTGTGATGGCTTGTAGCTGCTGTATAAACGACACAGATACGTTGGTGTGATGGCTTGTAGCTGCTGTATAAACGACACAGATATGTTGGTGTGATGGCTTGTAGCTGCTGTATAAACGACACAGATATGTTGGTGTGATGGCTTGTAGCTGTTGTATTAACGAGACAGATATGTTGGTGTGATGGCTTGTAGCTGCTGTATAAACGACACAGATATGTTGGTGTGATGGCTTGTAGCTGCTGTATAAAGACACAGATATGTTGGTGTGATGGCTTGTAGCTGCTGTATAAACGACACAGATATGTTGGTGTGATGGCTTGTAGCTGCTGTATAAACGACACAGATATGTTGGTGTGATGGCTTGTAGCTGCTGTATTGACGACACAGATATGTTGGTGTGATGGCTTGTAGCTGCTGTATTAACGACACAGATATGTTGGTGTGATGGCTTGTAGCTGTTGTATAAACGACACAGATATGTTGGTGTGATGGCTTGTAGCTGCTGTATAAACGACACAGATATGTTGGTGTGATGGCTTGTAGCTGCTGTATAAACGACACAGATATGTTGGTGTGATGGCTTGTAGCTGTTGTATAAACGACACAGATATGTTGGTGTGATGGCTTGTAGCTGTTGTATAAACGACACAGATATGTTGGTGTGATGGCTTGTAGCTGTTGTATAAACGACACAGATATGTTGGTGTGATGGCTTGTAGCTGCTGTATTGACGACACAGATATGTTGGTGTGATGGCTTGTAGCTGTTGTATAAACGACACAGATATGTTGGTGTGATGGCTTGTAGCTGTTGTATTAACGACACAGATATGTTGGTGTGATGGCTTGTAGCTGTTGTATTAACGACACAGATATGTTGGTGTGATGGCTTGTAGCTGATGTATAAACGACACAGATACGTTGGTGTGATGGCTTGTAGCTGTTGTATAAACGACACAGATATGTTGGTGTGATGGCTTGTAGCTGTTGTATAAACGACACAGATATGTTGGTGTGATGGCTTGTAGCTGTTGTATAAACGACACAGATATGTTGGTGTGATGGCTTGTAGCTGCTGTATAAACGACACAGATATGTTGGTGTGATGGCTTGTAGCTGCTGTATTGACGACACAGATATGTTGGTGTGATGGCTTGTAGCTGTTGTATTAACGACACAGATATGTTGGTGTGATGGCTTGTAGCTGTTGTATAAACGACACAGATATGTTGGTGTGATGGCTTGTAGCTGCTGTATAAACGACACAGATATGTTGGTGTGATGGCTTGTAGCTGTTGTATAAACGACACAGATATGTTGGTGTGATGGCTTGTAGCTGTTGTATAAACGACACAGATATGTTGGTGTGATGGCTTGTAGCTGTTGTATAAACGACACAGATATGTTGGTGTGATGGCTTGTAGCTGCTGTATTAACGACACAGATATGTTGGTGTGATGGCTTGTAGCTGCTGTATAAACGACACAGATATGTTGGTGTGATGGCTTGTAGCTGTTGTATAAACGACACAGATATGTTGGTGTGATGGCTTGTAACTGCTGTATTAACGACACAGATATGTTGGTGTGATGGCTTGTAGCTGTTGTATTAACGACACAGATATGTTGGTGTGATGGCTTGTAGCTGTTGTATAAACGACACAGATATGTTGGTGTGATAGCTTGTATCTGCTGTATTAACGACACAGATATGTTGGTGTGATGGCTTGTAGCTGTTGTATTAACGACACAGATATGTTGGTGTGATGGCTTGTAGCTGTTGTACGACACAGATATGTCGGTGTGATGGCTTGTAGCTGCTGTATAAACGAGACAGATATGTTGGTGTGATGGCTTGTAGCTGTTGTATTAACGAGACAGATATGTTGGTGTGATGGCTTGTAGCTGCTGTATAAACGAGACAGATATGTTGGTGTGATGGCTTGTAGCTGCTGTATAAACGACACAGATATGTTGGTGTGATGGCTTGTAGCTGCTGTATAAACGAGACAGATATGTTGGTGTGATGGCTTGTAGCTGTTGTATTAACGACACAGATATGTTGGTGTGATGGCTTGTAGCTGCTGTATAAACGAGACAGATATGTTGGTGTGATGGCTTGTAGTTGCTGTATTAACGACACAGATATGTTGGTGTGATGGCTTGTAGCTGCTATATTAACGACACAGATATGTTGGTGTGATGGCTTGTAGCTGCTGTATAAACGACACAGCACGCAACATAAGAGAAGGAATTTCAGGAATTCTCTCTCTCTCTCACACACACACTCGCAGAGAGAGAGAGAGAGAGAGAGAGAGAGAGAGAGAGAGAGAGAGAGAGAGAGAGAGAGAGAGAGAGATACACGAACACCCACAGATAACTTACCAAGGGAGGTGTCGGTGGCACCACGGGACCGGCACTCAAGCCTCCATACGTGTGCTGATGCATGTGACTGTGCAGATGTTGATGCTGGTGCTGGTGAGTCTCCGAGCGGATGAAGGGCGAAGGAGACAGAGCCCCGGGGTTGGAGTCTCGGTGAGCTAGCAGCCTGTTGTTGAGATCCTGGTGCAGGAAGTCTGGATCTGTTCACGGAAGGATTCATGCATTTTTACTTCAATCACAACATGCTTCATAAGATAGCAACATGCGGTATGCGCTCTGAACGGGCAGAAAGCATTCAAAAATTGCACTTAACCTCTCTCACCTGGATCTACACACCCGGTCATGCGGGCCTAAAAATAAATGAGAGAGCTGACCAACTGTCAAGCTTCGCACTAACGCATGTAGGAAGAAGCATGGACAGAGCAGATATCGTCAATGCTGTACGGACTGGGCTAGTGGATAATGAGGAATCCCTGACACTAACACGATTGCCTGACATTGGAGTAAAGCATGGTGAAGCACGTCTATGCCGTCTTTGAGGCCGCGATAGGAGACTATATAACTAACCAGCTTCTCGTGGAAACAATCAGTAGAAATACTTTAAAGTGGCTGCTGCATCGGAGGAATGAGCACGCATGGGAATGCCAAATATGCAATGACGTCGACTGTGATAACATACCATTTCAATCAAACAGGTATCACTGCTTTGGGATCTATTGTTCGCTACGGGAATGTTTTGACACGTGCTATAAATAACTGTTCAAATGAAACATGTACCATGATAATGCGTGTTAAGCACACCCAAACTATCCATTGGTGCTCAGTTTTCCTCAACATACAGATCAAGGCCTGCAAACGAATTCTATGGACCCCCCTCCCCCTCCCCCTATCTTCACCGATCTCAGGCCATGCACTTAATTAACTTTAGACGATAAACTGGGATGCCAGCTCGAAGTGTCTAGGTTTCCGCAAAGCTCAAAACGTAGACGTAAAGGTGAGAGGATCGACTTCATTGCACCGGGTTTTATCCCACAGGGCTCAGTCTCTTTCCGCAGAACAGACAGCTGCCTGCCAAGAGCGTCGCTCAGAGCACGAACTCCGTAGCTCCGGCGACGATCCCCGTACAAAGTGCGCTCGTGAACTGAAAGACGCCGCCGTGAAACGAACACGATACCTTTACAGCGAGAGGAGAACGGCTTGACCACTTCGATACAGAGACTCCGGTTCCGCAAAAGCTCAGGTTTAATGGCGGCGGCCACACGTCGCTTCGCAGCTCCTTCTGGAGCGGACAGTCTTGCAGAGCGTGTCCTGAGGTCTCCCTAGCAGGGACACACCGGGATAGCTACGAGGCGCCTACTTAATTCACACAAGGGTTTGGTGACCAATGTCCAGCGAGACACATACTGGTCGACTAGACAGGGCGTTAGCAACTACGGTATCTTTTAGTGAAACAATATCTGATTGGTCAGCGACAGAAGCCATGTTTTAATTCTAAGTCAACATCATCAACGTGTAGCAGGTCCTTGCAGAACGTCGCTCTTATCACAGTCTGCCTAAATGTAAGATAACGACGTCTCAACTTTAATTACAGACGTTCCCAAATTCTGCGTTATTGTGTGTTTTTTTTTTTTTTTCCTCCTTACACAAAGAACAAATAATCACCTCACAGCTGACACAAAAAATGGCTTTATGAAATCATCATCTTGTAGCAGGTCCTTTGCAGAACCTCGTTCTTATCACCGTCTGCCTGAAAGAAACTTAAGTCTCTCGCCAGCTCTCCCGCCTCATGTACTTCCATACCCGAGCAACCACTTATATCCTGTGTTCATCTTAGTGTTGGTCGGTCCCTGCGCCTCCTTCCTGGTACCATGTCTTCTGCTAGTATTATTTCTAACCCGCTATGGCGCGTGATGTGACCAACATATTTCGGCTTAGGAGACAGGATGTTGTTGACTAGCAAATCTTCCTTGATTTTCAAATCTTTTAGGATGTCAGCAGTGTTTTTTCCCCTTTGTCCATGGCATTCTGAGAATCTTTCTACAGCATTTCAGCCGAAAAACAATTCTCACAATATCAAGTTGGAAATGTGTATAACTGATTCCATCCTTCTTCTTCTTCTCTGTTCACACGCTGTAAGCTCCGGTGGAAAGTCCTGGCTGTTCGTCCATTTGACTTTGGCTTTGTGCCAGGGTCGGCTCTGTGGCTAAGACAATGCGAACGCTTCGTAATGCCGGGATGCCGGTTTCGACCCCAGCTGCTGGCCATGCGCCTTGCGTTGGTTTCGACAGTGGTATCAAGAAAGCCGACCGTCCAGCAGGCAATGGCAAACTACTGGACGTAAATTTGCCTAGAAAAACCACACAACAGCCAGGGGCTGTTAGGGTTGGTTCTGCGACGTCCTGTAAAGGATACGCAACTAACCTCAACCTTTGTGCCAGGGCCTGAGTTTTGCCTGTACATCTACTGTACTAGCTTGTTTGTGCACAGTTTGTTGTTCCTTGCCACTCAGGCAGATGCATTTCGACTTCGAAGAAAGCTCCCAATTATTCGACTTTCATGACATGCTTGTTGGAAAGGCATTGGATCTATTCTTGTTTTCCCCACAATGACCCCCACACTGGAACGATTTAATCCAAAGAAGTTCTATTTTAAAGCATTACATTATTGAGTCTGCGGCTGTTAAAATAACAATGTGGATAAAATGCGCTCATATAACCAGTGAAGAAAGTAAAAAAAAAAATTCTAAACGTGTTACCCCCTGGGCTAATCAAGACACGGGTGGGAAATTGTTTCGTATAAAAACGTTTAATTGTTTTGTTCCTAGCGGCCTTTTGAACTATTTCTAGACCCACAAGTCTAGATTGAACAATCAGGAGCCATAAATAAATAATAACAACATCAATCGCTGCATTCTAAACTTTTTTTGTTGGTTTTGTTTTGCGTGTGGATTATTAATGTTTTAAGTATGTGTGAATAAGCCTTGAGGCAAGACGAGCTTTCATAGCACTAGAAAATGTGTGGAGGTCAAAAGACATTAAAACTAATACAAAACTTAAAATGTTTAATCTTATGTCAAATCCTTGCTGTTGTATGGAGCGGAAACATACACAACAACTAAGGCAATTACTCTGGGGGGAAAAAAACTGTAAACATTCATTAACTAGTACCTGCGCAGAATGAAGGACATTAAATGGTAAGATAGAATCACTAATGTAGAGCTTTGGGAGAGAACTAAACAAGTTCAAGTGGACCAAGAGGTGAAGAAAAGACGCTGGCGTTGAATAGGACACACGTTGAGAAAACATGAGAACAATATAAGAAGAATGTCTCTGCACCGGAACCAACAGGAATATGGAAATAAAGGAAGAGCAAAAACACATGGAGAAGGGAGCTAGAGAGTCAAGTTAAAAAAGAAGGGGGGGGGGGGACATAGGAAGAGCTGCATGCAATAGCGAAGGACAGAACGACTTGGCGTGGGTGGGTTGAGGGCCTATGCTCCGTTAGGGGATAGAAGGAAGGAAATGTGAATACTCAACCAGAAAGTCGAATTCAGTCACCGGAGATGTGGATATAAAGATGAATGAGTCGTATTTCACAGGGCGAAAACGATCGAATGCAGAGTTTCTGACGAGATTGGGAATGAAAAGAGAGTTGTAGAAATATACTTTAAAGAAACAATTGAAATATTGGGGCCACGTTGAAAGACATCACTCTATTTCAAAACCACACTAAAGGCAAGAGAGCAAGATGTAGAAAACTATACTAGTGGTGAGGAGGCCGTGGGGGGGGGGGGGCATTACCAGATGGACGAACAGACAGCAGGCTGAAAGTGCCCTCGACGATACAAGAGACAAAATAAAATGATCTATTGTAGCCAGTTTGTACCGTGAATACAGCAGCTGATCGTTGGCGACAAGAGGGGACACGCACTGATCCCCATGTGGGAACCAGCTCCCCATGGAGCAAAGGAGAGGGGAGAACCATTGCCCCCACCCAACCCCTCCCCACCGCCTCCATCAAGCATGTGGCTAATGTCGTCATGTATTTACCAACAGTTTGCTTTCAAATCTACTAGATCTGTAAAACGGATGTGCATGCAAAACTCAATTTGTGGAATAAGACTGAACTCCAGAATTGAATAGATAAATAATTAGAACTTTCCGCCAGAGGAGGAGGAGGAGGAGGAGGAGGAGGAGGAGGAGGATGAGGAGGAGGAGGAGAGAAGAAGAAGAAGAAGAAGAAGAAGAAGAAGAAGAAGAAGAAGAAGAAGAAGAAGAAGAAGAAGAAGAAGAAGAAGCAGAAGCAGAAGAAGAAGAAGAAGCAGAAGAAGAAGAAGAAGAAGAAGAAGAAGAAGAAGAAGAAGAAGAAGAAGAAGAAGAAGAAGAAGAAGAAGAAGAAGAAGAAGAAGAAGAAGAAGAAGAAGAAGAAGAAGAAAAAGAAGAAGAAGAAGCAGAAGAAGAAGAAGAAGAAAAAGAAGAAGAAAAAGAAGAAGAAGAAGAAAAAGAAGAAGAAGAAGAAGGAGTAGGAGGAGAAACTATGCATGCTTGCAGACTGTGGAAAATATCTGTGGATATGGTGAATATATAATGAGATCTATCTTTGATATGGCAGGAATGGTGGTCATAATATAAATAACATATGTTGTGCTGATGGTACCGTCTTGATAGCGACAAGTCAGAAACAACTACAGGAATTGATAGCTGCGGTGGTGGTAAAAAGTGATAAAATGGGCCTCAGTTTGAATAATGGAGAGACAAAAGTAATGGTGATTCCCAAGAAAAGAAATATTGCCTAAAGGTATAAAAAAAGACAAAAAGCGATATTTTAGGACAAGTACAGAAATGTAAGTATCTAGGCGCTTGAATAACAACCGACGGAAGATGTATCACAGAGATAACAAAAAAAAAAAAAAAACAGAGCAGGACAGGCTAAAATTGCATTTGACAGAATGAAGAACATTTTATGCAATAAATCCATGCCACTGGATGGTAGGAAAATAATTCTATATATAGACCAAAAAGTAAAAGTTAAAGTCGGGAGATCTGAACCAGCGTCATTGCACACGGTTATAAACCATAAGTGCTCTGACACCAGTACCGACAGCTGATAAGAAACTGTCTGCCTGTGTCGCCGTTTGCACGTAACTCTGTAGTAACAGCGACGTTCCTTCATTTACCCCAGAGTGTCCCTCTGGTACCCA